ATTAATATTTCAGATTTTGGAAGATTCTACAGAAATATAACTTAATGAACATAGCCCAAAGGATGGATGAAAGCTGAATTTTAAACATCCATTTCTATAACTTTTACAGAGAGATATAGAAAATGAGACTTGTGGAAATACCTGGCTGAACATTTTACCCATGTCTTCAGAAATAAAAGACTTTCTGAAATAGATGTTTTGTCTGCTTCATATATCTAGGCTTCTGCCAGCTGGGGCGGGAGATTCCACTTTAATTAAAGGCTGCTGAGAAGAAAATAAATCCCACTCTTTTTCAGCTTTTGTCTATGGACTTGTGTATTTTGCTTTAAATTACCTTTTTTTTTTTTTTTTCCTTCCTAGCAGTGGGATGGGCTGGAGTTTGACTTTGTGTATGTGACAAAAAACAGAAAATTGTGGAGATGCATATCACTATTAGAGCATACTGCTTCAGTATGACAAACAGGCTACATCCACAATGGTTGTAAAAAAAAGAAAGAAAACCTTTGATTTCCAGGACAATGACAACAGAAGCTCCTATTGTATTCCACAGTAAACCACACAGATGATGATAATATTGCAAATGCATTTCAAAACATCTGTCAGCTTCAGGGCTCAGCTTAAAGAATTGTATGTTTTGCCTCAGACAATGCCTCTATAATGATTAGCAAGCCCAATATATTTCTGAAGCTTCTACAGAAGAAAATATTGGCAAAATTTATGATGCAGTCTGTGCATGCTGTTTTATTTTATCTAGCAGCAATATATATAGGCATGAGAGATTGAATGCATCAGATATGTGTATGTAGTGTTCAAAATAAACAAATAAAAAATTGAACAAACCACATCCCTCTTCCCCTTCATGGCATGTTGGCCACTATGTTATTTATACCTCACCTTTCAAAAAGCAGTATAAGCAATGATTTAAAGAACACAATATTATTTTTCAACAATGTTCTAGGATTCTTACTACATAGTTATTATTAGTATTATTTATTAATTATCACAGTGTGATGATAAACTTGTGGGACACTTGAGGGAAAAGTCCAGCTAAGAAAGCCTCTCTAGATCTAGACAAATATTTCTGTCTAATCTTTTTGAGGGGAAAGGTCATCTGCAATTGGGGGTAAATACAGTCCTGGCTAACAGTTAATATCTAGGGACATATCTCTGTATGTAAAGTTTTATGGTTAAATGAAATATTACAAAATGCTTTAGGTTTCCAGTGATCTCTGTTTTCTTTTGTTTTAAGAATAAAGCTAATGATGACACATCTCTCAGTTGCAGCAAGACTGCTAATTAAGGTTTTAAAAACTCTTGAACTTTATCCTCAGATCCTTAGTCCTGCCCTCATTTTAGCAAGAGGACAGGCTGTTCCATTAACATATTCCCCAGTATGTTGTTTGTACTTCCTTCTTGCATTGATTTCTATGGATCAGGTCATTCGTGGGGGAACTGAGAAGAATGCAAGTTTTCTGCTTTATTTTCAAGTGTCTGAATGTCATTTAATAGTTAAAATTTCCTTTCAGGAAGTGATGGAGAAGGTATTCTGAGAGAAGACAAGCAGCAACTGGTTTTGGGGACAACTGGTCATGGAGCAGGTTCAGCACTGGATTAGTGAAGGGGTCATAGGAAGGATGTGATAGTTAGCAGGTTGAATTTGCCCTAGAAAATTTACTTGCATAATTGTTATCTCCAGACATAACTCTTGGGACATAACTCTTGGGTAAAACTTTTAATAATTTGCAAATTAAAACAATATTCATGAACTTTGACTGAATTGCTCCTTAAGGGCTAAGTATCTTAAATAACGTCCAATAGCATGGACTGACTATCATATATATCGTTCTTAATCCCAAATCCCGAGAATGTTCCTATTTTATCCAGAGAACATTCCCCCAATGATGGCAACCCATTAGCATTATCCACGGGTGGTGGTTGTATTAAGAGGGGCCAAACTGATGTAAGTAATGTTGCAATGTCACAACATAAACCCCACCCTTTTTCTATGCATGTCATGACATCATCTGCCTAGTCAAAAAGGTGGAGCTTACAATATGACACTGCTTTCATCATTCTGATGAATATGACAAGTCCCATGGATGCTGCTGTAACACTTGATTGTCATTGAGCTGGGAAAAGGACCTGGAGTATAAGGAAATCAAGAGAAGGCTGGGGGTATGCCACTCTATTATCTATATCTTAAGAAATTAAGCTCTGGTAGGTGCTACAATGTTAAAAAAAAGATACAAGGGAATGTTGCGTGCGCGCGTGTGCACACACACACGCGCGTGTGCGCACATATATATATATATGGGTTGTCAGGGAAGCTATTGAGCATACACATACTATAATTATCTTCAGAAGTTATAGCTCAATTTTAAATATGTTTATTTGGAAATGTAACACTTGCAGCTTCTGCCTAATAAGTAGTTTAGGATTACAGCTTGACAGATACAAGGCAATAATGAATTGATCTGTCCAGGTATCTGCAACTCTCATTTGTAGGCTTTGAAATACTAATGAGGATGTGTCCATATGTTGCAGAAATAAATCAGACAGGCTTCTTTAGCATAGAAAAAATGCAAAGTCCAGTCAATTCTAAAATGCTGGTATTGACTTTCCTAAAAGAAAGTGGTATGATTCTTGCCATCCCATATACATGACAAAATAAGCCTTAACAGAATTGTTAATGTCTAGTAGCTGCCCTTACATATTTTAATTTGGATTGCTGTGCATATGAAAAACAACTAAGTTATTGAATCCATCATGACTAACCATGTCTGTGTGTGTGTACGTGTGTGTGTATGTGTGCGTGTACTAGGTGGGCGGGGTCTGATGAGCGTCAAAGCCACTGTCCTGTATGAAACCTGGAGCATCCAGGAGTACATCACTAAGAAGGCACCCAAAGATGAGCTGCTGAGAGAATGCCTCAGGCAGCAGCAGACATGGGAGGAAGTTCAAGTGGAGGAAGTCCCATGGCAAGACAAGCCCCTGCATGGGATGTACCATCAACAGATACAGTAGCTAAGGTGGCTGACATTGGGAAATCCTATCAGTGGCTGGAAAGGGCTGGACTAAAAGACAGCACTGAGGTACTGATCACAGCAGCACAAGAACAGGCACTAAGCACCAGATCCATAGAAGCAGG